TGTTGCAGATTTCCTTTCCTTGGCTTTAGTTTTGAAATATCCCTATACAGGTCTTTCATTTGGGCTATAACTTAATTGGGTGCCTGGTCATTCTTTGAGGCAAACGTAGGTTTAGAATGGCTTGCCAGAAAGTGGGAAAACTGTAGGAAGGAAAAAATTACATGTTGTTCCTTCTATCACAATTCAAAGATAACCAATTTTTCTGAGTTTTTTTTTTTTTTTCCTTGAATCTGCCTTCCAAATTAGATAGATAGGGCTTACATGCCCTAGTCTAGTGATTCTGGAGGACTTAAGAACTGTAACTTGAGTAAACAAAACATCATGTGTAGATTTATTTTTCTTTTCATAGGTAATATTTTGAAATACAAGATTGGCCACAACTATTAATGAGACCAGGTGTGGCAGTGATCCCTTTTTCTTGTATGGAAATTGTGTATTTTAGCTTTATAATTTAATTTTATAAAACTGGATAGTTTTGGAACCTTCTGAAGACTGCTTCCCTGGGTATAGACTCTGAGGAAGAAAGTAGTGGCACTGACTTTAGCTTTTAATCTTAAAACTGGTTTTATTTCATTGAGGTGAAGTTCACATAACATTAACCATTTGATAGTGAACAAGTCAGTGGAATTTAGTAACAAATACATCTTTCTAGTTTCAGAGTAAAATAAAAGCCTGTATCCATTATGTAGTTATTCCCTCTTACTCCCTTCCCAGGGTCTCTGGCAACCACCGATTTGCTTCCTGTCTCTCTAAATTTACCTATTCTGCATATTTCATGTACAGATCTTCCTCAGCTTGTGGGTATTACCCCCTAACAAACCCATCCTAAATAGAAATAATTGTAAATTGAAAATGCATTTAAATTTTGTGCCTTAAGTGTAGCTTAGTCTTCAGTTGGGTAAAATTGTCTAACACAAAGTATTTTATAGTAGTGTCCAATGAATATCTCCGACACAGATGGGCACTTGGTAGATATGATGAGATGCAAAAACATAAAACACAGGTTCAAAAGAACGCTGGCAACACAGTCCACTGAGGGTATCTGTAATTTACCCTCTGATCATGTGGCTGACTGGGAGCTGTAACTTTCTGCCGCTGCCCAGCATCATGAGAGAAATGGAACCACATGTTGCAGGCCCGGGAAAAGATCAAAATTCAAAACTGGAGGGCCTCCCTGGTGGCACAAGGGGTTAAGACGCAACCTGTGAAGCTATCTGCAGCCACTACAGCACGAGTTTGAGCCCCGGCCAGGGAGCTACCCACATGGCACAGCAGACCTCTCCTGACTTGCCCCCTGCTCCCCTCAGCAGTATATTTCTGTAGATCTATCTGTTCTCCCCACTCTGTCTCTGGTGAATCCTCCCACCCCCCAAATCTCTGGCCTGTACCCCAATTTTTAAATGCATAAATAAATAAATCTTTTAAAAAAATTCAAAACTGGAAGTACAGGTTCTACTATATTGCTCTAATACCATCCATAAAGTTAAAAAAAAAAAAATCACAAGTTTAACCATTGTAAGTCATACAGTATGTGACCTATTGAGTCCAGCTTTCACTTTCATGATGTTTGTTCACCTATGGGTTGCATGTATCAGTACTTCATTCTATTTTATGGCTGAAGAACATTCCATATATATAATTGTCACATTTTGTGTATCCATTCATACTGATGGACAGTAAGTTGTTTCTGTTTTTATACTGTTATAAATTATACTACTGTAAACATTTGCATGTGTTTGAGTACCCATAGTCACTCCTTTGGGGGTGTGTATATACCCCATATCCCACTGTGGGATTACTAGGTCATAAGGTAGTTTTTTTTATCATAAGGTCATTTTATGTTTAACTTTTTGAGGAGCCACGAGACTGCTCTCCGCAGAGCCTGAACTATTTTACATTCCTACCAGCAGTGTGCCAAGATTCCAGTTTTTCCACATCTTTGCTAGTACTTATTATTTTTTAAGTTATAGACAGTGGGTATGAAGTGGTAGCTCATTGTGCTTTTATTTTGCGCTTCCCTAATGACTAATGATGTTGAATATGTTTCTTTGTGTGCGTGCATTATTTCTTTATCTTCTTTGGAAAAATGCTGCTTGTCTTTTTTTGTTGAGTATAAGAACTCGTTAAATATTTTGGATACCAGATCCTTACCAAATTCATCTGCAAATATTTTCTCCCATTCTGCTGGTTGTCTTTTCACATTCTTGATAATGTCCTTTGATGCGTAGAATTTAAAAATTTGATGAAGTCCATTTTATCTATTTTTTTTTCCTTTTGTTCATCTTTTGGTATTATGTTTGAGAATTTGGCATACCTGGACAAATCCAAGGTCATGAATATGTCTCCATTTTATACTTTAAGGCCTTACATTTAGATCGTTAGCTCATTTTTTTCAAAAAGATTTATTTATTTATGCGTACAAGAACTGGGGTGTAAGCCAGAGGTGTAGGCGATGAGAGGATTCACCAGAGAGAGTGGGGAGCAGAACAGGCAGATCTACTGAATATACACTGCTGAGGGGAGCAGCAGGTGAGTCAGGAGAGGTCTGCTGCGCCTTGTGGGTTGCTCCCTGGCTGGCAGGGGTTCTAACTCTTTGTACTGCAGTGGCTGGCTGTGTTTAACCCCTGCGCCACCAGGTAGGCCCTAAATTGGTAGCTCTTTTTGAGTTAATTTTTGTATATGATGTGAGGTAGGAATCTAGTGAGGATTCTTTTTTTTTTTTTAAATAGAGGCATGCTTTATTTATTTATTTGTTTGTTTCTTTTGGTTATACATGCACTGGGTACAGTCAGAGAAGCGCGGGAGGGTGAGAGAATTCACCAGAGCCAGAGCGGGGAGCAGAGCAGGCAGAAGGACCGAAGTACACTGCTGAGGGGAGCAGCGGGCGGCAGGAGAGGTCTGCGCACCATGTGGGACCCTCCTCCAGTGGCCGGGGAGCAGCCGGGGATCGAACCAGAGCCGCAGAGGCCACGGGCAGCTTCGCAACCCGATGCTCAACTGCTGCGCCACCGGGGAGGCCCGAGGATTCTTATTTAGCAAAATTTCATGGAGTTTTCCACATTGTACTTTTTAATATCCTTGATTAAATATACAAACAGGGCCTCCCTGGTGGCGCAGGGGTTAAGACGCAACCTATGAAGCAATCCGCAGCCTCTGCAGCACGAGTTCGATTCCCGGCTGACCAGGGAGACATATGGTGGGACAAACCTCTCCTGTCTCTCCCACTGCTCCCCTCAGCAGTGTACATCGGTCTGTCTGCCTGTTCTGTTCCCCACTATGTCTCTGATGAATCCTCTCAGCCCCCCCCCCCATCTCTGGCCTGTACCCCAATTCTTGTATAAAAATAAATAAATCTTTTAAAAAATAAATAAAAATAAATATACAAACATACCAGTCCAGAGCTATCGTATTATTTTAAATTTTTGTGCATTGTATTAATCAAAACAGAACTCACATATATTTTGAAAATAGTACTTGTAAGTATGAGACATTATTTTCTCAGTCCAGGCTGTATGTTGGTAACAGTATAGGAATACATGAATGTCTTTCTTAGTCCCCTCTGAGCTTGCAGGTTACAGACTTTGTAGATGCATATCAGGGGGATCTATCATGACATGAAGAAAAAGGGGTTAAGAATGAAAGAAAAGAGAATTTTTTTTTTTTTTGAAAGAAAAGAGAATTTCAAGAGTCAAGGTTGCAGAGACCTCAAGAGGAAGAGAGAGGGCTGGAAGATGGGTAACCATAAGTCAGTGGCAGAATCTGTAATGGCAGGAAAAGACAGCATTTTCTTTCCAGCGGCAAGGATGATTGACAATTGAAGTGAAGTGCTCTTGGGGAGAAGGTTTGGAATAGAGCTGGAGGCTCAAAGACATCAGAAAGTGGTGGTTTAGGGAGCAGTTGAAGATTCTTTTAGTTTTGAAAATAATGTCAACCCAATTCTTCCTCTAAATGAGGAATCCAGCTAGCTAATTTTTTTAGCAGCTGTTCTAGAGAGAAGTAAAGAAAATGACTGGAGTATTGATTTAAGTTTAGTAAACTGTTTGCTAGATCAGTGTTCTGTGTATTTGTTTGGTGTTCTTGTCACTTCTTAATAAAGTTCCCCAGTGAAAAAATTCAGTTTTAGCCAAAAACGTGATGTAAAATTCTTTTGTTTCCCATTAGAGAGAGAGTGAGGTTCTCAGTGCACCCTTGGAGCTTAGGATGGTGTGCGGTATTAGCATGACCTTCTGATGGAGCTGGGACTCATGAGAGTGAGAACTTTGGAGGGTTTATAGGGACTCTGGTGCCAAAAGGGCTGAGGAACTTCTTCCCTTCTGGCCCGACCTTCACAGATGGCATTCACAGGCTCATCAGTGACAGTTTTTTTTATTTATTTATTTATTTATTTATTTATTTATTTATTTTAGGCCATGTCAGCTCTGTGTTCAAAAGGGCTTTAGAAGGAGGAGGGTGGATAGAATAAGTGACTGCGAGTCTGAGGATGGAGTAGCTGTTATGGCTGCTGGTTCAGAGGCCCTTTTACTTTTACTAGCAGGTTGTTACTTCAAACAGAAATGAAAGCTACTATACAAGAAATTATTCAGAGAGGTGTAAACAACGAACAGGTCTTAGGTACTTTATGGTGTTTAAAATCTGAACTTGGGGCCTCCCTGGTGGCACAAGGGTTAACTTAAGTTAAGCATAGCACTCCGAAGCTATCACAGCCCCTGCAACACGAGTTTGATCCCCTGCCAGGGAGCTACCCACATGGCACAGCAGACCTCTCCTGACTCACGTGCTACTCCCCTCAGCAGTGTTCTCAATCTGCCTGTTCTGCTCCCCACTCTGTCTCTGTGAATCCTCTCACCCTTCACACCTCTGGTCTTACCCCAGTTCTTGTATGCATAAATAAAAATTTTAAAAAATAAAATATTTTTAAAAATAAAAAATATTAAAATCTGAACTGTACACATGCATCTTTTTGAGTTTTTAACCACCCACATAACCTTTGTGACTTTCAGGTGCTACTTGTGAGCAGTAGTCGTCATCCCGACCGCTGGATTGTCCCTGGAGGAGGCATGGAGCCCGAGGAGGAGCCGAGTGTGGCAGCCGTTCGTGAAGTCTGTGAGGAGGTATGCACTGAAAAGAAAGGGCACCACTCTGCTTTGTAATCGTGACTCTGTCGTGTCTGTGTAATTCTTTCATTTATCACTCACTGAACAAAAATACTCGCGAAAACAGAAAGATGGCATTTAGTAGTTAATATGTGCCTCCTTGAATAAAGGGGTAATCAGACTGTGACATAGTAATGTTGCCCAGGCACTTTTTGCAGAAAGAGGGCTCGCAATAGTTACTGTGTCTACCAGATAGTCCTTTGTGATTTTGCATGGATTTCTTCCAGCAATGCCTCTGTTACCTGTGGCAGGAAAGCAAGAATTAAATAGTTCATCAGCCCTAAGAAATGAATGGAACAAGGTGTGTTGGTATAAATGGCTCATTCTCATTAACCTTTGGGAGAGGAGGAAGAGGCCCTGTTTTCCTGTGCTTCCTGGCTCCTAGCCGCACAACAGTGGCCAAAGCAACAATTCTATTAGCCAAAAGCTGTCAGTGGTTTTTTCTTTTTTATTTAGTCGCATAATGTTCAATGTACATGTATTGTGTTCCTGGGCCATGCCCAGTATATCTTAATAGATATGCTAGGATAAACAATTAGAAGTTAAGTTTTGGACTCTTAATTCCCTTAATTCAAGAGCTTATAGTCTGGTCGGTGAAGCTGAGAAACAGAAACAGGTAATTCAAAACCAGGAGGAAGGAACTGTTTCTCCATAGTATTTTGGTGACACCACGCTCTACTCTACTTGTGTTACCTCATGTAGGACTCATAACACAGTGGTGTAAGTTTTATCATCTCCATCTATTTATCCTGGCCTCATCAATAGTGCTGTTTAGATCCATTTCCTCATTCCAGAGTGAATTTAAGACTGATTCTAAAATAGCACTTAGAACAAGTCTGAATCTTCTTTTCTTTTGGGTCCAGTCTTTTCTGAAGTCCTCTTAGACTATTCTTACCCTTGGAAGACTGAACGAATTCTTTTTCCCTCTAAACTCCTACAAACTTAGATTGCTTGTGTCACTCATTTTATCATATATCTGGTATCCATAACTAGATTGTGATCTCTGAGGACAAAGATTATGTTTCCTGTTTTGAATTGTCTCTTACTGTGCCTAGTGTATAGGTAGGTGAATAGAAAGTAATTAATATATCCTTCTGTGACAGGTGGAACAATAAAAGTTCTAAAGAAATGCCCCAAATGGAAATAATCAAAGGACAGAAAATGATAAATATTGAGAAGAGAGGATGTGAGAAGGCATTCTTACAGTAGTAAGAATGGGTATCCCTTTTTCTTTTTAGACTTGGGATACTGGGGAACGTACAGAGTATAGGCTGGTCTTGAGGGACTTGGGGTACCTTGTCTACACTTTTGCTTCCTAGAAATGATGTACTATCCTTCAGTAGGTAAAAGGAGAATAGATTGAGGTAGGAATAAAGTGCTTGTAACATGAGAACTGAAAGATGCATCGCCAGTCACTAAACTGTGTTCCTCGTAAGTTCAGTGTCTTACCTACTTCGTGTCTTGAGGGAAATATTTGAAATTAAACCCTGTCTGCCATTCTCAGTCCTGAGGAATCCTGACTTTGAGCAAAGCTTTTCCTCTCCAGTCAAGGAGGAGTTATATACTTAATTCTAGCATTTGGGAGGATAAAGAAGTGTCTGTGAACGCCTTAGAACTTTAGAATAAAGTGTCAAGTAAGTCAAATGTTTGTGCAAACAATAAAAATAGAGAAAAACAAAACATTACAAAAACAAACATTTCAGTGACTTCTATTAAAATAAATGGAGGGGGCCTCCCTGGTGGCACAAGGGGTTGAGATGCAACCTATGAGGCTGTCCACAGCCATTGCAGCACAAGTTTGATCCCTGGACTGCAAGGGAGCAACCCACAGGGCACAGCAGACCTCTCCTGACTCGCCCGCTGCTCCCCTCATCAGTGTACTTCAGTCATTCTGCCTGTTCTGTTCCCCACTCTGTCCCTGGTGAATCCTCTCACCCCCTTCACCTCTGGCCTGTACCCCAGTTCTTGTATGCGTAAATAACCTTTAAAAAAATAAAATGAAGGGGCCTCCCCGGTGGCGCAGCGGTTGAGTGCTGGGTTGCGAAGCTGCCCGCGGTCTCTGCAGCGCCAGTTCAATCCCCGGCTGCTCCCCGGCCACAGGAGGAGGGTCCCACATGGTGCGCAGACCTCTCCTGCCACCCGCTGCTCCCCTCAGCAGTGTACTTCGGTCCTTCTGTCTGCTCTGCTCCCCGCTCTGGCTCTGGTGAATTCGTTCACCTTCCAGTGCTTCTGACTGTACCCAGTGCTTGCATGAATAATAAATAAATAAAATTTAAAAAAAAATAAAATAAAATAAATAAATAAAATGAAAATAAATAAAATGGAAGAAGGGGCCTCACTGGTAGCACAGGGGTTAAAGACACAGCACTCTTAAGCTACTGCCAGCCCTACAGCACGAGTTCGATCCCTGGTAGACCAGGGAACTACCCACATGGCAAGCAGACCTCTCCTGTCTTGCCCACTGTTCCCCTCAGCAATGTATTTCAGTCTGCCTGTTCTGTTCCCCACTCTGTCTATGGTGAATTCTCTCACATGCACCCCACCCCCACACTTCTGGCCTACACCCCAGTTCTTATATGCATAAATAAATAAATCTTTAAAAAAATAAATAAAATAAAATGGAGGGAGTAATTTTTCCTATTCCATAGCCCTCAACAGAAAATAAGACTTGGAGTCAGAGAAGATAGAGATAGATGTTTTTTATTGCCTTTATTTATAGCTTTTATAAATAGAAAGCACTATTCAGGGGTTTATTTAGTTTTCAAAATGCTATGACTTTTTTATCTTCACATTCATAGTCTTAATTCATAATGCTTACAGAGATGATTGTTCTATAAGCACAGGAGATTTTAACAGTCATTGCGGGGCCTTTGGATAACACAGAGACCTATTAATTGAAGACCTTTAATGTTTCAGATTGCGTTTACAAGTTTATTATGTTTGATTGCTTTTAAAAGAACTTTAGTTGTCTGACTTAATAATAAAACCCATCAAAGTTCTTCAATAAAAAAGATCCTAAGTATCTCATATATTAAACTTACTAATAAGCTTTATATTCTTGAAATAATTCCACAGGGTATATTAAAAATATTAAGATTTTCAACTTAATATAAGTCAAAAATAAATTATTCTATTGTACTTTTGAAATTGAGGCTATCAGTTAATAAGCCAAATTCTTTGAAACATTATAAAATCATAAAGTGTCTGGTCTCCTTCTTAGCATAGAAATATTTATACAATAATTTTGGTGTTCGTAAACATTTCTATGTTTAATTCTAAATATTTCCAGAATTAAAGAATGCTTACCCACTAGAGAAACTGGCTGTTCCTGTTAAAGGGGCCAGCACTGTTGGGTAACCTACAGGAACTCTGATCCAGTTTATTTTTACCCTGTCAAGACTCTCTTAACTCCACAAGACTGGAGGTCACGGAGTGCACCGTGGGAGTGGGCGCTGAGTGTGCACTATGTGGTGTCTGGCACCCCTGGCTAACTTTGTGCTTCAGCATGAAGGTTGCTTCCTCTGTAAAGTCACTGTGATTCCCCTCTGTAGATTTGTTGTTCTTCCTGTATGTTTCTCTTACAGTCTGTGCTTCTGGCATCAGGCTGTTTACACTTTATTCATCATGTTGCTTGTTTAGTTGCCTATCTTCTGTGCTGGATTTCACACCCTGTGTTGTCAGGTACCCCTCTTTCTCGCTCACTGTTGAATCCCCAGTGCTTATTACCACACTCAAGTGCTTAACAAAGTAAGTGCTATAAAAATTGATATCTACTAGAGCAGTCACATAAATGCCGCTGAGGTATGTATTCCTTTTTGGGTTGTCAGAGTAGACATATTTTCCAGATCCCTTTACGAGGAAGAATATGAAGTGTTATAGACAGGTTGTGCAGAGCTGGAAGCTTGGGTCATGGTGCACAAGCAGGTCTCACTCACTGTGGGGGGAATGATGGGAATGCAGTGTAGCTCCAGGAGCCTGGTCACTGCCCCAGTAGCCCATGCCCCTCTTTCTCTTTTTCTTTTTTTTAAAGATTTACTTATTTATGCATACAAGAGCTGGGGTACAGGCCGGAGATGCAGGGGGTGAGAGGACTCACCAGAGACAGAGTGGGGAACAGAACAGGCAGACTGACTGAAATATACTGCTGAGGGGAGCAGCGGGCGAGTCAGTAGAGGTCTGCTGCACCCTGTGGGTTTCTCCCTGCCCGAGGGGGAGGGGGGGGGATCAAATTCATGCTGCAGAGGCTGCGGATTGCTTCATAGTGCTGTGCTTAACCCCTTGTGCCACCAGGGAGGCCCCCCTCTTTTTTTTGTTATTTTATTTTATATATTTTTTACATCATTTTTCATTTTTTTGCAATGTATGCATTTTCATCTTGCTATAGTCCCTGTGAAATTCCCACCACCCATTCACCCGTAAACTATCACTGTGGTCCCTATGCCCTTCTCACCCCTGTTTTCATCCTACTCCCTTCTCCCCCCTGCAGAATGGCTCTGGTTTATAGTTGCCTGTTGATTTTGATTTTTACTTTATTATAGTTACTTTTTTTTTCTTTCTTGATCCCTTATTTGGATCCTTTATATTCCTCCTTAAAATGAGACCATCCAATACTTTTCTTTTTCTTTCTGGCTTATTTCAGTGAGCATGATCCTTTCCAGCTCGATCCATGTTGCTGCAAATCCATGCCCCTCTTTCACTGAGGAGCTGCCTTTCTAATTTTTGTTAGTCTCCTAAGTCCTGTATATCACTTTTGTTTTGCCCTTTTCCTCCTTTGGGCACCACTCTCTGTTGATTGTATGTTTCGCATTCACCCTTGTCAAGAGGAAGGACCTGCTTGGTTTTGCCTAGTTGCAGCCTTTGGACAGAGCTACCAAGACACGTCATTAGCTTCTGGCCATTTTGAAGATGTCTGCCTTGCCTTGCATCAATTGCTAATTTATTATTCCGCTAGCTGTGTT